TACATATACATATACATATACATATACATATACATATACATATACATATACATATACATATACATATACATATACATATACATATACATATACATAGACATAGACATAGACATAGACATAGACATAGACATAGACATAGACATAGACATAGACATAGACATAGACATAGACATAGACATAGAAATAGACATAGAAATAGAAATAGACATAAACATAGACTAGAACTAGAACTAGAACTAGAACTAAAACTAGAACTAGAACTAGAACTAAAACTAAAACTAGAACTAGGGCTAAAGTTCAAGCTAAAGCTAGTTATAAAGCTGTTAGAGCTAGAACTTGAGCTAAAAATAAAGCTAAAGCTCTAACATAGTGTTACTGATAGTTATATTGATAGTGATGCTGATAGTACTAGCTATTAGTACAGCTATGTGAAAAATAGAAATAGTTTGAGAAAAAAGTAGTAGTAGTTAAGCAGTAGTACTATATCTAGTACTGAAACTACAAAAACTACTAGCATTTCTTTTTCTTCTACTACTTGTGTTTTTCACATACTAGTTCTACAACTGATAGTGATAGTGATACATAGTTAAAGCTAGAGCAAGAGCTAGAGATAGTGTTGGAGCTAAAGTTAAATATATAGCTAAAGCTACTAGAGCCAAAGTTAAAGTTATTGTTATTGCTATTACCTCCTGATGCTCCTCTAGTGAGAGCTAGAGCAATTGATACTACTAGTAGTAATACTGCGAATGATACTACTATTGATATTGCGAGTAGTTCTTCTAGTGGTATTGCTAGTACTTGTAGTAGCAGTTACAAGCTACATCTACATCTAGAACTGCATTGGTGGTATCATTATTGACAGCAGCAGTAGATTGATGTAAAAAAGAAAATATATATTTGAGAAATATCTATAGACTAGTACAAGTGTAAGTTCTAGTACTATGTAGTAGTGACTGAGCAGGTTAGCTAAAGTTTTACTGACTGGGCGCATTCTAAAGAGGCATGATGCAGCTGGTCAAATGGAATGATCTCAAAAACAACACTTTTTTGTTAGTACAGTAGATCAGTGAATGAACACATTCTAAAGAGGCATGCAGCTGGCCCAATGCAATAATCTATATACACCCATCTATACTACTAGCATATCATACTGCCCATTTATATATACCCATAGATACAAGAACTACCCATTCACCCACCAATGCACAAGCACTGCACATACATAGTAAGCACACATTGCACAGATACATATGCACAAAAAAACTGACCAAGTACACCTTTCAACTTTTCATCAAACTCCTCAATCATGCCTATTACTACTAGTATTTGCAACAGCTTGTTGATTAAATCATCAGAGGGTTCAGTCCACTCAAATTTATTACCCATTTCTTTCATTCCTCTCTTCAACTTTTTGAGTGCTTTCTGGTTAGTCCAACCTTTTCCTTTTGCTCTGGCTGGAACACATTTGTAGAAACTACTCCACCAGGTGCAAGAATCATTCCAAACTGAACTTGCTTATTGTTGGCATCCATCACATCTAAGAACAAGTGCTGAAGAGTCTGGTCATCTCTGGATGTAGTGTAAACAAAACTAGGTGTACTCAGCTCCCACTCTTCCTCCTCAGACAACTGTAACAAGGACAGGAATGTTATGTTGCAGAAGGTGCTGCAACAAAAAGGAAGGAAACTTATGCTTCTCAGCACCACTGCTGTTTGTACTACTACTACTAGTACTACTACTACTAGTACTACTACTACTAGTACTACTACTACTAGTACTACTACTACTACTAGTACTACTACTACTAGTACTAGTACTAGTACTACTACTAGTACTACTACTACTAGTACTACTACTACTAGTACTACTACTACTAGTACTACTAGTACTACTAGTACTACTAGTACTACTACTACTACTACTACTACTACTACTACTACTAGACTACTACTAGTACAAATTACATATCTTAGGGTTAAGGTTATTATTGAATACTCATTCGTAATACAGTGCTGACACCTTCGACTTCTTCCACTGACACCGAAGCAAACCAATTCCAGTCGACAAAAAGCTATTCTAGTATTTTTTTTCTTTTCGACTTTCATGACTACCGCTTCGTTTTGGTGTTTGGCGCGAAGAAAAAGATACAAGCTGCTCGAGTTGTCAAAACGGTCATGTTTCGACATGAKTGTTTTTTGTTTTCTTCTTCGTATTCCCGTTTTGGGATCCTTTTTTGCGGGACCTCGCATGGTGMGTCGATACGAAGCGAAGAGAGAGARAGAGAGAAGGTGACACAAAGCAAAGCAAMTGCCACTGCTACTRCTACTACTACTACTACTCTCTCTCTTTTCTTACATACAGTAGATATAGAATCCGAAATCATCATGTATTCTACGGCRCCCTTTTTGTCTCTGCTCCCCGTAGCTCTCTTTGTGGCCTACCTGGTATGGAAGGAGGTGATTTGGTACTTCGCTTGCGTCCCGGTTGTGGCCTKGGCCTCGATTTTGCTATCGTGCCTGGAGTCGGAGGACTACGGGTATACTTCACCCGTCGATTGGCTGCTCTGTCCGCGAACCCTGCCGGTCCGTGATCCCAATCGGTCGACCGTGGTAGTCCTGGGGTCCTCCAGGGGCCTGGGAAGGGACCTTTTGGCGAGCCTTGTCGCAAAGGGCTACTTTGTGGTGGGCACGGTCCGTAAGCCAGTTGACGCCGAGTCCCTGGTCGGGGAATTCGGGACCGACAGGGTCCTGCCCGTATTTCTRGAGCTGACCAGCGACGAATCGATCCGAAACGCCTGCCAACAAATCGCGGGCTTTTTCAAGGGGCAAGGCGGAACCGTTGTCGAACCATCGCGGCAYCTTGCRGCCATTGTGGCAATGGCCGGCATCACCTCCATGGGGCCCTTCGAGGGCGTTCCCTTCGACCAGCTCCGGACYCTGTTGGAAACMAACGTCCTCGGGACGATGCACGTCCTGCACCGGSTGATGCCGATCGTCCGGGCCCACCAAGCCCGCATCGTGGTAGCGGGGGCCCCGGACGTSCCCCTGCCCCAGTACGCCGTGAAATCCGCGTGCAACGGGGCCCTCCTGGCCTTTACCCGCGCGCTCCGGGCGGACCTGTGGGGCCTGGGGGTCTCCGTTTCGATCGTCCAGCCGGCRGCGACGAGGGGGGGAATGGTGGTGCACGGCCCGAAGATGGTGCGAACGACGCGGGAGGCCATGCCCCCTTCGCTCCGTGCCGTGTACCCACCGGGATTCCGGCTGATGATGCGGAACGAGGGAGCCGGAGACTTTGGGCTGGACCCGGGGTGGGCCACCCGGGCCTTTGAGCACGCCATTTCTTCGCCGAGGCCAAAAACGCGGTATTCCACGACTCCACCCGGGACCGCTCTGTATTTTGCGTCGTTCTTGGTGCCGGATCGAWTGCTGGAGATGCTGATGTTTATGGGACCCCTGGGGCCGGGAGGACCCGAGGTAGTGGTGGGAGAAAGCGAAGAGGAACCCACCAAGACGAAAACAATGTAGATAGTGAAGCCGATGTAAAGTAAAAGMATGGATCGCTGCATTTAAGTATGTATACAAGTGTTATTCGAGTATAATAGTGACTTTAGTTCTAGCAGACATGTAATGCCATATTTTCCCGCATCAATCGAGCTTTTAAAAATAAACATGTGGTATCACTCTGATGCGGAATATGCAGAAACAAGCGTTGCTTCACCACCTTTCGGATRTGGGAGCAAGATGCTTTGTCGATCTAGGATGACGGCGACGATGGTGCTYCCTTCTTCGTTGTSGAAGACGGCGAGGCTTGGGGCGGCGGCGGCACCAGATCCTTTGCGATGTCGATCGAGGACACCGGCTGCCACCACTCCACGAACCGAATCCAAACCTCGATATACAACACAAGAGCGCATACCACCATCCCCGAGAGCCCACCCATCATCTGGTATCTCCGTAGCCGCTGGAGAAAGGTCAGCGGCTCGTCGAGAAYGATTCGATCGTATACACGTTCCGTTTGCACCGCGACCCGRTGCCAGCTGTACATGCGCTCKATGCGGCGGTGGGCGTCCCAGGGATCGAGGGGCGGCAACACCGACGATCCCCCCCGCTGCCGCTCGATGGCTGCTTTCACGCCATTCACCAGCGAAGCGACRTTTGGGTCGCAGAGGACAGTCATGTCGGGTTCCAGCACCTCCGGGACACCACCGACGTTGGTGGACACGACTAGCAGGCCGCAGCTCGCAGCTTCGAGAATGGCGATGCAGAAGGATTCCGTGAGGGAACAATTGAGAAAGACGTGGCCCCTGCGCAGGACCGAGGCGACGTCCTTGTGCGGGACGGCCCCCAGGAAGGAAACGCGGTCCTGAAGRCGCTCCCGCTCGACCATTTCCTGCAGGTCCAGGAGCTTGTTGCCGTCTCCTCCCACGATGAAATCGACCTGCGGAAAGAGCTYGCAGACCCTTGGAATGATGCCCACCAGCAGGTCGACCCCCTTTCGGTAGACCAGTCGGGAAACGACGACCACCTTAATCCTGCCATCTCTGCCGCAAGCTCCTTTGCCGGATTGGCCAGCCTCGCAGGGCATAAACTTGGATGGATCCACCGCGTTGGGGATCACGTCGATGAGGCTCGGATCCAGCTTGGCCCGGAGGATGAGGTTGTCTCGACAGGCGTGCGAGACACAGATGGCCGCGTTCARGGTGGGTCGGAGGGTGGTTTCCAGCACCCGGTTCAGAACCACCCCGGCCACGTCGTCGAACTGGAAGAGAGAGTGGTCTGTAAAAACGCTCTTGAGCCCCATGGCGGACGCRTACACAACGCTTTCGTTGGACATKACRCTCGTTGCCTGGTGGGTGTGGACGATTTCGATGCCCTCCCGGATCATGATGTTGCGCCAGAGGGGAAAGGTCGCCGTGAGCGTCGGCAGAATGTCCTGATCCGTCATGGGTATGAACGGCTGAAATTTTGCGGTTTCGGGGAACGAGAAGAGTATGACGAATCATCCGTCGTTTTGACAATAAGAATATCTCAGTAAGATCGCGYGTTTTTATTTGACCAACATCACGGTTGGATTTTTTTAATTTCAAGTTGTTCGATAGCCTCCAACAATGATAAATGTTCATGGTTTATCACTCACGCAGTAGTAGACCTTCAGATTCTCCGGCATGTACCGTACACCCTTTCGATCGGCATAMGAGTGGGTGATGACGATCACCTTGTGACCCAGTCGAATCAGATGCTGCGACAGACTCCATATGTGCATCTCGACACCCCCCATGCGAGGATAAAAAAAGTCGCACACCATTGCTATCCGGTAGGTTTTTCTCGGTCGTTTCCGAGACAGAGTTGTGGTGGTCATGGTGAACCAAAATTGAAATTGGGTAGGATGGAAGGTGTAGCGTGTAGCCTTGTGGGCGCTTCTTTCTCTCCAATCTCAAGGCTTTTCCMCAGTTCAACGGTTGTCACAATCTCGTCTCAGCGCAAACTTCGTCCTTGTTGATACACTATTTYGTYGTGTCTTCGATACTGTTTCCGTTCATCGTCACRAATGGGTTGCTGCCGATGGGAATAACTTCGTGGTAGGAGCAAATTTCGTCGTGAATTTTGACTAGTTCGACTGAAATACTTGAAGCAGTATTTTCGTATTTTCAGCTCTAGGGTCTTTTAGTCTTTAGGCCCCTGGTCTGGCCCAAAAGGTCATATGACCCCTGAAGCCTGGTTTGGTCTAAAATAAAATAAAATAAAATTCACGAGTTTGTGTTTTCAGTGCAAAATGTACGTGTGATTGAATCATGCCGAGATCTTGAAGCACTTTTGCTTGAGGTTCATACGGTAATGGCTGAGTATTTTGCGGAAGCTTTTGTTGCAAGTGTAGTATGAAGTTTCTGATCACCACTTTCCTCACATTCGTTCTGGTTGCAGCAGCAGCTGCTGCTGCTGCTGCGGTGGACCCAGACCCCATTTTTTCGGCCATGAAAGACAACGACGCCGCCGCCATTCGAACCGCGGTCGAGAATGACCCCTCGCTGCTCGAGTTTACCGGCCGGGGCGGCCAAACCCCCCTGTTGAAAGCCGTGCTGATGGGAAGCAAAGAGGCCGTTGTTGCTCTGCTGGAGCTCGGGGCCAATATGATGTCCACCGAGGGCGATGGCTACGGTGTTCTCCACGCGGCGGGGTTCCAGGGTCGACCGGAGATCCTGGAATTGCTGCTTGCGCGGTTCCTCGAGCWGAAAGAATCCGGCGGAAATTACTTGGACCCAGAAAGCGATCTCCACGAGGACGGGTTTTATCCCATGCATGTGAGTAGAGTTGAGCACAGTTTTTGTAGAATCSATGCAATGCAAAGCGTGAACGATTCTGTGAAATGGAATCCTCCACGCCATTTTCCCATCGAGTTCCTTTTTATCTGACCCTTTTCGGTGTCATCCATTTTCCTTTTTCCACAGCGAGCGTGTTGGGGAAGGTCGCCGGATCATGCAAAAACTGTCGAAGTATTTTTGAAACACGGGGTACCAGCCGATCAGCTCAGTAAGGATGGAAAGACGTGTGMGGAAATGACCAAAAATCCGTTAACAAAGCGACTCTTTGACGATAGCTCTGAACTATAGGTTCTCTTCTGGCTGGCTTGCTTGTCAGCACTGTACAAGATACATCAGGTTGTAGGCCTACCAAACCGCTTTAATTTTAAACCTATATTTCGCTCTCACGGCTCACTATTGAATTATGAATGTTTCGCGATAAAGSAGTCGAGGYATCCAGTCGCAGATTGGTTTTTGTTGTCCATCGGCTGCTCTCCGCAGCCGGAATCGCACGRCGACGTTTCTAGAATGGCCTTCACGAGACTTCGTTTTGTGCCGGAACCAGTTTCCAWGAACACTTCGGTAGCTCTGCAAACCTCCACCACGGTTTTTGTGCCGAGTCGCTCGAGCCTCTTTTGGGAGATTTCGATGCCCTGCCCGGTCGACAGAGATATCGCCAAGTTGCGGACAAGCATTCCGATGCAGAAATGCCGCATGTATCCGTTCAGGGGACGGGTAGAGGCCGAAGCAACCGCTTTCGCGAACGCATTCAAAATATCTGTGCCGTCCTTGAGGGAATCGTCCGCAGCTGGCAATCCCCCCGTGAGACTCCTCGATAGCAGTTCCATCATTTCGATTTCGTCCTCGGCTTCTTTCGGAAGCGTCAGTATGTGTAGCATGTTATGCAGTTCTTTCAGCGCACGACAACGAATCAACGACGGGAACATTGGGAGAAGAAACACTCGGATGCATTTTGTGAAAAAATCATACTGGGCACCGTAGTCCCGATAGGCGGTTGTCAGATCTTCCAAAAGTGCCACCAATGCACGAATCTGTTCCGAAGAAATGTCTGCATCCTCCACTTGGATGTTCGTTATCGCGTTCGCAAAATCGTCCAATACTTTCTTGTCCTTTTCCTCCAGTGCAYTCTCTGTTTCGTCGTCTTCGTTGCTCCGTTCTGCCTTTTCGGTATGGCCCGAGTGCTCGAGACATTCCCGACAAAAGTCCAATACGTCGTTGTCGTTGCGCCCAAAGTCCATCAGGTATCTATCCAACAGAGCTTCGCCGGTGTTCAAGATCCGCTCGTCCCGCAACACGTGCTCGTGTTGCAAGCAAACATTCATGAGATAATACAGCTTCGAACCCATCGGCAGCCGCCCCGCGTACCCGGCAATGCCCGTGACATCTTCGGTTTCGTCCAGCTCTAGGATGAGTTCCAGCACGGAAGCAATCACGTCCGASGCTTCCTTCGTACCAGCGACAAGGACGTCTTCTCTCATTCGGATGGAACCAGAGAGAGACTGCCAGAGCCACATCTTCCCGAGAGGAAGAGCCGGGACATCGGATCCGTCCTTGCGTRCAGAAGGAGCGGTGGTGRGCCCGTCCGCACAGCTCMGCAAKGAGTCCAGCGCAAAGGGGCCGAATCCATCCGAGGTGATTCCAAAGCCGTGCTGGAGCTTGAAGCTGTGGTCCAGCTGCTTCCTYGAGGCCTCGGAACCGCAAATCTCACCCAGAAACATCGACGATATCGGCGACGACAGGGACGATTTCGCCGACGAYGCGTCCTCGTCCCGGGAGGGATCGCCGCAGGTCTGGAACAAAACGTCRCTGCTSAAGAGGACCGCGGCCACCGACTCGTTCCCCCTCTGGAGTCTTCCGAGGAGCGAAAACACCAGGCTTCGGAGCAGAGCGAGATCGGAAGAGGACCCGAAAAGGCCCTCGGACAGAGAGTGCAGGCAGAATTTGGCGAYGGAAAAGTGGCACTGGCTGGTCCACGCCTCTCGCACGGSACTCTCGGACGCCGGCGATGCGGCRCAACTCGTGCGGCTTGGCCTTGCCTCCGAAAGGCCATCGTTCGCCTTCGCCAGGCCATCGAGGACCATGCGGATCAGTCTCYCGTGGAGGGATCTCTTGGCGTCGTCGTTCGAGCGGTGGTTCGGGATCCGCGAGGAAGATCGCAGGAGCACCAGAGCGAYGGAAAAGTAGGCATCGAGGAACCGGCTCGATGCGGCCTCCGCCCGGAGGGCAGCCCCTTCCCCGAGGGGTGCTCGTTCGAAGCCCGGATCGGGATCGCACCACTTTGCCACCGAGTCCCAGGCACGCCGGGCCATTCCGCCCGGCTCGGCCCACGCCGAGAGCGCCAGCAGGAGCGATTCCTGCTGGCRGGGGGACACAAAGTCCCCGATGGAGGGCTCCCCGGYCGCCGGGGGACGGTCGGGGGGAGGATCGAAGAGCCGGAACCACGCCGCARCGTAGAGCAGCCTCGATGCGTTCCAGCGGCAGGCCACGATCCAGTCCTCGGTGTTTTTCGGGCCGTCGCCTTCCGGTGGTGCCGGGGGGTCGTTCGGCAGCACCATCGGAAGGGTCGATGCCATCATCGTGGTCGCGGTCTCGGCAATCTCGATCGCGGCCCGACCGAGGACAGGGSCCCCCTGCTCGGACGGATCGGACCCACCGGTGGTCGCCCTTGGGGCCTTGGCTTCGGTTTTKCTCCTCGCTGCCCAGGCGCACTCGATCACCAGCGTGAAACAGGACARAAAATCGGACGAGAGGGAGAAYTCGTGGGARCAGGGAAGGGCAAGGTGCCGGGCCGCTTCGGTCAGGGCGGAGGCCAGCGCCTCGAGGCCGAGGCCGTACCGGAGCATCGTTCTCCACAAAAAGAGGGCCTCYCGCTGGACAAMSAACCGGGAAARAGAGGAAGCGATCCCACCCGCCAGGAGGGGGGGCAGGACGTCTTCCAGGGGGATTCCCCCGGCGGCCACCCTCGACTGCCGCGACAGGATGGCAAAGAGGCGCACCGTTGCCAGCACGGAGTCGTTTTCGKTTTCGYKTTCGCGTTCGCTGCACGTCCCGGTGCAAGACGTGGGTTGCTTTTCGGATTCGCTGGCGTCTCCCCTTTCGTCGTCGTTCCAGCGCCCCCCCGTTGTTCGAAGCTTCTCGAGCATCCGCTTCGACAGCAGGGGGGTCAGCGATCCGTGCTGCACAATGGCGGAGGCCGCCCCCGGGGATCGCTGGCCGACCATGGCCAGGATCCCGCAGATCGCCCCCAGAGCCCCTTCGAGGATGGCCCATTCCGCGTGCTCGAGCAGAACCCCGAGCCGGGGTAGGATCTTCATCCTCGACAGGAGGGTCCACAGGGGGTCCCTCCGGAAGGCCTCCCCGTCGGCCGTTGCGGAAACCTCCGAGGAGGAGGTCGTGTAGGCAGCGGCAGCGGAAGGGGCCTGCCCGCCCTGGCTCCCGCCCCCGCTTCCGGCCTCCAGCGGCAAGACCACCATGGGGGGGTAGGCCGTATCCGAAGGCGGCGACGGAAAGGCGTCGTCCATGTAGTCCTTCCGAAAGGCGGAGGAGGCCMCCTCCCGGTCCAAAGAACACGACGCGCTTCCGAGGGAGACCRTGGCGTCGTGGCCCGGGTGGGCAAAGAGGAGGGTGGCCGAGCACAGGGCCCGGAGCGCGTAGGTGTGCAGCAGGTGGTTCCGGGACGAGTTCGGGGGCTTGTCCAGCAGGCACCGCAGCGACACCGGCAGCACCACCGGCAGATCGCCGGGGGCAATGCCCAAATCATCGCGCTCGTGGGTCCAAGCGGACGATTCTGCTTTCCGTTCTTGTGTGGGTTTGCCTTTGTCTCGGGCCCTGCCGTTTCGGATCTGGTGCTGCTGCTGTTGCTGCCGGGCGGAGGAGCCGGAAGCCACGAGTTTCTGCAGCTCGAGGCCGACGGTCCTCGCGGCCCACAGGGTTTGTCGCGGGGAGGACGACCGGAGCAGGTCGCAGGCCACCAGGAATCGCTCGCGTCGGCTCTCGTGGGTTCCCCGCTCGCCGCTGCTTGTGCTTGYGCTKSYGYTKCTGTTGCTGTTGYTGYTGTCCCCAAAGACCRGCTCCCCGCTCCCCATCTCGGCCCGGTAGGCAGAATCCAGGTCGTCGTAGGTCCGGATGGACGCCACCAGCCCCGCGATCCGTTCCTTCTCCCCGCGATGCCCTTCCTCGTTCCGCCAAGGAAAAGGCTCGTCGAAGGATTCGAACTCGAGGCCACCGCCCGGGGCCTCCCGTTCGGAAGCTGCCGGCGGGGCGGCGGGCTTGCTTCGTTCGGGGGCCTCTGCCGGTTTCGGTTTCGGATCCCGTTTCGGATCCCGTTTCGGGTTCCTCCGGTGTTTGAGAAAGGCCAGCAGGTCCGGGGAGAGGGCCTCCTCGATCTCCTTCCGCCGGTCCGMGATCTCCCCCGGCGACATGCCCGCCAGCAAGGCGTCGGCATCCCTCCGGCTGGCTTCCTCCAGGCGGCGGTGGTGGCCTTCCGGTCCGGCGGGCAGCGGTTCCGGAGGCCTTCCCTCGGCCCGGCGGCGGCGAGGGGAACCGGAAGCGGARGCCTTGGGCGCGCGCGAGACAAAGGTTCCGATGGGAACCCCGCGGACGGAGGGAAATCCCCCGGCGTGGGCCTGCCGGGTGGTTTTGTTGTTCTTGTTGTTGTTGGTGTTGTTGTTGCTGCTGTTGGTGTTGTTGCTGCTGTTGCGGGAGGCAAACCGCGAGGCCCTTGCCGGTGCTTTGTGGCCGAGGCGGCGGCCCTTGCCCTTCACCAACTCGTGCTCCACGATGCTTCCGACCAGCGGTGGTGGCTTGGCACCGGGTTCCGCACCGGGTTCCGCACCGGCGTCGGCGGCGGCACTCCCGGCGTCCGCACCGAGTTTCGCACCGGCGTCCGCCTCGCCGCGGTGGTTCCCCCGGCTGGCCCGGACGACGGTCGCCGCCGGCCGCTCGCCGACCGGGGTTTCCATCCGCATTCTCGTCCGCGCCAGCTTCTTCTGCCTCTGCTGCCTGCGGTACCGGTCCCGCTGGGTCCGCTCCTCCTCCCGCCGGCAAGGGGTCCCATCGGCCCCGGCCAACGCGAGCTCTCCGACAAAGGAGTCGGGCATCCCCTCCGTGTTCGCCATGGCGGCAACCCTTTGTCTGTTTGTTTTTTTGTCTGTCTGCTTGTTTGTCTGCTTGTTTGTCTGTTTGCCTGTCTGTTTGCCTGTCTGCTTGCCTGTTTGGTTTTCTGTCTTGGCTCCTGTCTTGGTTGATGCAACGGTAGAGAGATTTGCTTGTAGGCGATGGTTGGTGTTCGTTCTTCGCTACGGTACCGTACCGTACGGCAGGTACGAGTACTACGTATGACCAGTAATCGGTAATCATTCGATCGAAGGATGGTGAAAAAGATCCGCCGCACTGGGTTGATGATGATGGATTTCCGAAATCCATCATCATCGTCCTGAATTTCCTTCACTTTTGTCCCTCGCGGGATCTGTGGTCGCGTGTGGTCACGCCGTACGAGAACTATTACGATTACGAGTACACGTACGGTACACATACACCTACCGGGTACCATTACTCTACCGTACGTATGGTACCGTACGATCACATTTCAGTCTTCGGGCGAGTGACCAAAAAATAGGATGACAGGACTACGGTACCGTACGGTACCGTACCACGAGTATGTTCGAAGTTCGTACTGTATTATTGTTGTTCCATCACAGGTATGTACCGTACGGTATGCTTGTATTTTCACTTCATAACAAACTTCTACTAAGAACTTAATAATTACGGTACGAGTACGTACTGTTTCAAACTGGATAGSATTTTTTGTTTTTTTCTTTGCTTTTACTTTGGCAGCACAGCCGTGTATCTTTTGGCTCCTGGACATGTTTTGGTTGGTAATTGGAATATGCAGTTTTTTTTTCTCTTGTCGTGTAATATCGGTGTCTGCTCAGACCAGGGAAGCAGCGGCAACAACAACGGCACCCGCRGCGGTTGCCATCACGGTGCTTGGCACCGCGCCGGTATCTGCTGCCGGAGCCACRAGATTGCCAAAGGCGGCATCCGCGTTGTCCTCTCGCGAGAGAAGAACCTCGGTGCCAAAGGAGGCGCTGTTGCCGCTTTTTTGGAGGTGGCGCTGCAAGAGATCGCCGCTGTTGGTCGAGAAGCTGGCGGTCAATCGGCGTTCTTCGGGAATGGTCACCCTGTAGGCCGTGACCATCACCTCAAAATCTCCGAAAGAAAAGTCATACAAACTGTTTTCGACGAGCGTTTTAGAACAATCTTCTTCATTTTCCGTGTTTGCACCAGGGCACGTGTCAAGTTGGGCTTGAGGTTCGACATCGGTGCAAAAGCATCTAGCACGCACAGCGTTTTCTGCGTCGAGATAGGGGCAATCCAAAACGAAGTACGATTTACCCATAACAGCGCAAGCGCCATTGCATGGTTGAACGTCATTGTCGGACCCACCATCAGTCAAAGTTGATCTGAAGGCAGTACGCGTGTCCAACGTGATGCATCCCGCCTTCTCAAACCTTGTGCTTGGGGGGTTTGGGNATCGGCCCCGGCCAACGCGAGCTCTCCGACAAAGGAGTCGGGCATCCCCTCCGTGTTCGCCATGGCGGCAACCCTTTGTCTGTTTGTTTTTTTGTTTGTCTGTTTGTCTGTCTGCTTGTTTGTCTGTTTGCCTGTCTGTTTGTCTGTTTGGTTTTCTGTCTTGGCTCCTGTCTTGGTTGATGCAACGGTAGAGAGATTTGCTGGTACTAGGCGATGTTGGTGTTCGTTCTTCGATGATTTATTGATAATCACTACCGTACCGTACGGCACGTACTACGTATGACCGGTAATCGGTAATCATTCGATCGATCGAGGGATGGTGAAAAAGATTCGCCGCACTGGCACGATGATGATGGATTTCCTTCACTTTTGTCCCTCGCGGGATCTGCCGTACGAGAACGATTACGAGTACACGTACACACACACGTACCGGGTACCAGGCAGGTACCTAACAAAATATCAACTAAAAATACAACCGTGTAGGACACAGTACATATTCTATGTAGATGAGACAGCGTGCACCAAGCGTGCGCGGAGACAAGAGTATCAGCGTGTTTGATGAGACGTACTCACACGATCACGCACAAGGCAAATTCTATAGAAAAAAACCAAGTCGGGAGAGTAAATCTCATCAATCACGTCAAATCGACAGCAACGGACGCAACTCCTGTCAGCAAAGAAGATGGTCCTCTTGTTGAGGATAGCAAAATACAGCAAAATACAGCAAAATACAGTTGACATATACACAGTACACTATATTTTTATGCTTTTTTTCGATATAAGGGGGGGACAAGTAGTAAGAAGGAACACGCAACAAAGAACAAGGATCGACGTCGACGTCCACGATTAAGAAGAAGCAGCACCAATAGTCGGTCCGCGAAGCATGTGGTGACCCCCATTGGCTTCATGGGGACGCATAGCTTTGAGGATGTAAGAGACCCTCTTGGTTGGACCATACACTGCATAAATTCTTCTTACAGCCACTTCTGAAGAACAACCAGCCCTGATGAGTCTTTCCATGCACCTCCAGAACTTCAACCTCCTGGAGTACTTGCTCTTAACACGTCCACGCTCAGCAGCAGTGAATTCCTTGGCAGGCTTATTGAGACCGACACCAACTTCCCATTCATTCCACAGGACATAAAGATCATGAGGACACTTAGTCAGCTGAGCATTCCCACCAGTCTCCGACGCGCCACTGTTCAACGCACGAGGGGCCCGGGGCCTCCTTCTTACGACTGGTGCCATTGCAGCTCTTTGGGACAACTCAATGGCTTTATTGAGCTTCGAATTGAACCTTGCTTCACTTGCAATCTGTCAATTCTTGATCTCATTCACTTCATTGGCTGTAGCAAACAGCTTAGAGAACATTGCATGATTCCATTGCAACTGAGTCCTACGAATTCCGAGAGCAGCTCCGGGGGCTCCTCCGCCACCACCAGTAGGACCACGATCACGATCAAGCAGATCATCTGGATCAGCAACCTCATCAAAGTGAACTTGCCCACTGAACTCATTAACAATCAGCTCAACTTTCTTGATAGGATTCACATCAGTATCCAACCTCTCAGCAACTGGAAGACTGTAATTGAGTTGAACCCACGAACCGACAACATCCTGCTTTATATCCTCAGGAATCAAGCCAGAAGCTTGCATTGCCGGATCGCAACAAGCCCAAAGCAAGGCCTTTCCTAGAATCGCTGCCACTTGATTACCAAACACATTGGCAATATTAGGCGCAACTGAAGAAGCAAGCCACTCATCCGTGATCCCGGTCCTTTCAGGCTTGTAAAGACAAACTCCTCCAAAGCAAAGCTTCGATGCAATGTCAATATCAGGCCAGGCAAGCTGTGTATCCGTATAACGATCCTGTTGTCTTCTAGACTTCCAACGAGCCCTGTAATCAACATTGTCCCTGTTTCCTCCAGACATTCTTGCAAAAGTTGTTGCAAACTTCCTAAAGGAATGAGTGCCGAGCTTCCCATCCGGTCTTTCACGGACAAAGGCTTCATTATCAAACACATAACGCTTGATGAATCGAGCGTAAGCAGCCTTCCCTTTGCTAATCTCTTTCTCAATATCACTTGCTTGAGATCTCCTGTCTGTAACTCCTTCAGTGAACAGCCATTGGCCTGCTGCTCCTTCACCATCTTTGCACCACTTTTCAAGGAATAAAGCAAGCCCAAGCACCACACAAGTCCTATGATCCATCGATCCAAGCNCCCGATCCAACAATGACTTCATTGGCCCTCTTGTAATTTTCGGGATTAGTGGTGACGGTTGTCAGTGCCATCTCCTGTCCGTCTTCCACCACCTTGACTGTCTCGGCACATGTAACATCTTGGAACCCAACCACGGCAACATGTACACTGCCATACTCTGCAATCGCATCCTCGGTAGGACCAACGCAGATGGAGAAGCTCTGGCCAATCTTGTAGGAGCGTTCTGGGTCTCCTGAATCAGAGGGACCACACAGATAGGAGTCCATACCGATTTCTACTGTTTGATTCTCTTCCAATGATTTCGTGCTGGTGCCCACAACCGTAATGGCATTCTCAAACGTCTGGAACGTCCCTGCCACATCGACGTTCAAGTCAACCAATGTATCAACAAAGGAGACATAAGTGCCATCGTGCTTCTTGGTAACCCGAACACATGCGTTGAAACTACCAACATCCGCTTGGTCCTCATTTAACGCTGTCCAGGCTAAAGGATCGTGTAGCTTCATTTCGATATTGGCATTACCTTAGAACAACAATACCATGGAAGAAAAAAGGAAGAGTACGATGAGGATAAATTTCATGGCATCCACCCATCACAAACACCCTTCCAGAAAGCTACGCATTGTTGTTGCTACCGGCTTAACGTACCAAGACTTCCATTGCTTGTAACCATCAATGGCTCATATGCAGAATACTCTTCATCAGTAAAAAAAAGTAAAGTCAAGCCATCATGACCATTCGGAAGCATGTTTCCTTCGTCGCATGCCTGGCCGTCTCCGACTCCTGTGAACACCTCAATCGTTGGTTGGTGAGTCTCAAAATTTCCTTCAATTTTTAAGTTGACATTGATAAAAATAGGATCTCCATAAGTTAGAATTCTACCAAATTCGGTGCCTTCGACATCGTTACCGATTGGATGGAGCTCCCACGGTCCTATCCTATGCCTTATTTCTTCTCCTTGTCCTTGGACAAACCAAAGTGAACAGTTGAAGCTGAGGGCAGCGACGACGATTTCGGAGAATTTCATATTGAAATGTTATGTTTTGCTTTTTGAAAGCTCTGCTTTTTGGTTTTGTGAGTTGAAGGATGGAATGAAAGGAACCATTCCCTTTCCAACGATGCTCTGTGTTATCGATGTTTCGGTGCTGTTGACCTCATCCGGTTCTGATTGATTTCTGCATGCAAGATGTTAGGCATCCCGGAATCTGTTTTATTTATACTCCTCCTGCAAAAGAAAGTTTCTCGATTCGGAGCAAAAAATATTTATGCTTCCCAAAATCTGTTTTATTTATACCTCTCTAGCCAAAGTCAAAACCGATTTGTTGGGAAGGTGTTCCTGGATGCGGAGCAAAAATTGTTTAATTGATACTTCTCCAGCGAAAAACAACAACCATGTCTTGAGCATTATATTGATACTGATATTGATAAAACTGATACTGATATTGATAAATCCTTAGTAGCCCAAAACTGATACTGATATTGATAAATGTTTTTCTTACCCAATGAAACGATCTGTTGACAAAATGATATGTTGAGAAGGTGTTCCTGGATGCGGAGCAAAAATTGTAGCATCCCGGAATCTGTTTTATTCATATTATTCGTACTCCTCCTGCGAAAGAAAACGAAATTGTTTCGGCCAATGATAAATCCAAGGTGAGGATGTTCAAGGAAGCCACTGTCCCACTGTTATATCCAAAATATCAGCTTMATTGCTCCGAACCCAGGAACATTCCTCAACAAAGTATTGAACAAAAAAGAAATCCTCAACATTTGTTTACTGTCTTTGCTTGTGAGAGCTTTATATAAAAATTATCCTGGGATGCCTATACAATTTTTGCTCCGAACCCAGGAACAGCAAAAAATATTTATGATTCCCAAAATCTGTTTTATTTATACCTCTCTACCTCCTCATGGAAAAAGAATAAGAGTTTTTAACGATTCGCGCGTGCCCTTTTTCGGGAAGCTCCATCTCAGCAACCAGTCTTTGTCTGACAGTGTTCGACATGTCTAAAGATGCAGAAAAAATAGTACTATCACTAGTTTGCAGTGTCATCGTCAAGCAATGACTTGCCATCGAGAAGAAGCTTCCCAAAAAAGGGCAGCGTACGTATTTTTCAATTCAATAGTTAGAAAATACTTCGTAATCACTTTTAGATATGCCTGACGGCTTGCGCGCGTGAAGCCAGACCGCGCGTAGGAAAAAGGCCAGACCGATACGGAAAAAGCACAGACTGCGTCCGCTACGTATGTATGTATGTACTATGGATACCTTGCAGTACTTTGGTTTTCCAGTACCGTGTATTTCCTGTACAGTACCATACGTACAGTACTGCACATAATCTTCCTAATGATATTGATATTGCTGATAGTGATGCTGATATATATTACTACCTCTGTCCCACAATAATAGGACACTTTGCAGTACTCACCAATTTGTCCAGTATTAATAGGTCAGTATGATGGGATAGCCCTGTAGAACATGTAGAATAAGAAGTGCTAGAAGTAATACAACTAGTATTGTGTCACCATTCATATTTAAGAGTTTTAGCACTATTACTACTACTATTGGTACCAATACAGCACTACTAATTACTATGAGTACTATTGGTACTGTTGTTGAAGTCTGCCAGTACTGAACATGCAAAGGCAATCTTTTCTGGGTCACAAGTGATCGAAACTGGAAGCTCGTCCCCTTGACGAGAAAGTTTTTCTTTGCCAAGTTGTCGTATCTTATAAGTGTTGTCACCACCAACACCAAGTGACTCCTCCATTGTACACTGTAGTGAAAAAAATACATTGTTTAGAGTTTCCCGTTTGGATTCCTCAAATGCAGCAGTCACGTTGGCATTCAATGTGTCCATGTTGGAAGACCACTTCTTGTGCTGAAGGCTCTGAATAGAATTGAAGAAACCCAAATCAAGACCATCAAAGTCAGGACTGTTAGGGGGTTGAGGCTTCACAACAATATTCCAGTTCCTTTCACGAGCAGCAGCAGTCACAGCTGCTCTGGTGTTCAGTGTACTATGAGGCTTTGCATTGTCTTCTTAGATAACACAATTTGGAAGACAATCTCCGTTGCCCCTGGGGAACTTCTCGTAAATGGCTGGTAGACTTTTTCAATCATGAGGTTCCTGTACACTTCTTCATTGACGTTAATAGGGTGGGGTTCAATTGTACCTCGATTCACAGAAGATCTCTGTGCTGGTCTGTACTCCACAATAGTCCAAATACCAAGCTTACCATCAAACCATGCACCCCTATTAGTATCAAATCTGGGCCTTG